TTCTTACTATTATCTTTAGATTGACTTGAATTTCTTTTGCGATTTTCTTGTTATAGTTTTTTTGTGATGATATTTATATTTTTTTTATCTCACTGCTAAAAATTTTGCCTCATAAGTAATCATTTGGATCCAGGCAGGCATGAAAACTTTTCTCACTTCTCATTTGTATCAAGTTAAACCTCACTCTACCCCATATTTTTTTCCTTCTTGTGCATCTGCTGTTACTAAGCTAATCATTTCTTTTTTTTTTTCCCCTAAGAACAACTTACATGAGAATAGATGTTTTTTTTTCACTACTAATGATAATCATAATGATATTGGTATTCTTATATTGAGAAAAAAAAAAGCCCCACACTAAGTCCTCTACCTCTATAAATCTCTTATTCATCTTTGTATGGAATACTGTTGTATATTTAGGCTTTATCTTCTTATGATGTATTTTCTCTTTTAAACGAAAGTCAAAAATTTATTGTAAATGTATTCGGACTTGCTCTTGTCTTGAACAAAAAAGATTTATTTTATTTCTTATTAACAGTTTTGTAAATAAAAATTATTTTTTATTTTTAAAAATTTAGAGAGTAATAAACTAAAATAAGTAATAAAACTAACATTGTCTATATAAATATTCACATGCTTGCTAGATTAATTGTTTTGTTAGATTGTTTAGATTAATTTTTTTATATTTTTTTACATTTGTTTATTTACATCATATCAAAATAATAGAGGACCTTTCTTCTGTAGTTGTAGAATTTTTTAATCATTTTTATAAAAAGTTGGTTTTAAAAGAATTCAAACCTGATTTTTTTAATTTTATATGAATTTATTATATTTGTGAATAATGAGCATATTTTATGTATTTGTTATTTAAACTTTGTCATAAAGGTGTGTGGTTTTTAAAATGTTAACCACTTTATTAATATATTGTTTAAAATTATTTATCAAGTTATTTAAATATTATAAAATGTAAATTTGCTTTTCACATATGTAAAATGCTATATGCCTGATACTTCCTATATCTATCAATTGTTTTTCTTTTAACTAGGTAGTGGTCTAGTGGTAGAGCGCTCAATCCCCACCATATCCCTGTTAGTACCGCACTTAACTTGTTATTTCACACAGCAGCCGTTAAGGATCGGCAAATATTCATTAAAATTCTGATTACGAAGTTTACTGAAAAAAAAATTTTTCTTTGGTTTTGACTTTGATATAGAATTTCAGTTAAATTTGGGTACAATTGCAAAATTTCATTTAGCTTTCAGTTAAATTCAAAAGTTAATAATTTTTTTCAATCAAAAAAGAAAAATGATTATAAAATAGTATATTTACATACTTTATGTATATCAACCTGTTTCAAGGTGTTTTTGAATTAAAGAGTTAAGAGAGGGTTGTAATAACTTTAGAAAAACAAAAAAAAGTCAAAAAATAAAAAAAAGAGAGCTTTCTTGACAAAGAAGCTTAAGGCGGAGGGCTACATGAATTCAGAAAAAAAAAGAACAAAGAAAACATATTACAAATATTCAAGGCAAACCCCTTAAAACAAAGCATAACAGATATGAAATGATCAAAACATGCATCCAAATTGAACACGATCTTGACTCTTCTGCTGAGGAAACTCATATTTACTTCTGGAGAGAGCACCTAGTAATACTCTTGATTCTGACGAGATTTCTCCTATCAAACTCTGGCTACTCTAACTCGGTATAGTTTTAGTTCCAGATAGAAATTCAAAAATACCTCTGACATTCAAGCAGAACTAAAAAATATATTTTATCTTCATTTTTAGCAAAAGAAATTGATATTTTATAGTGATGGAAGAGCATGGAACCACAATATTCAAAGCTAGCATTTGTTGTCAGGAAAACGGATCCCATTCTAAGTTATTCAGCCTCTTCAGAAAGAGTCTCTGCTGCAGCTGGCCAAAATGTCACTTAGACCCGACAATCATAACAGCAACAATGTAAAAAAGCTTGTCTACATTACACAGAACTAAATTAAAAAAAAATATATTTTTTAATTAAATTTATATGATAAAGTTAAAAGCTTTATCTCATAATAGTTTTTGCAATTTGTTAAAAATCAATGTATATGCATTCTGTAAATATTATTAAATACCGTAAAATTGCCTAAGTTCGGTCACCCTGTAACTTCGGTCATTTAAGAAAAAATGTAAAAAAAGCATGCAAACTTTTACATTTACAAATATTTTTTTCTCAAATAATATTTGTAATTAGTTCGTAAATATAAATCTATAAAAAAAAAAAAAATGTTTATATGCAACCTGCTGAAATAATTCTTTAGCAAAACAACAATTTGAAAAAATGCATATTAATAAAATCTAAAATAAGCAAATTATTAAAATAAATGAACACATTTCATCTTAGTATTATTTAAGAATCACCAAATTAGTTATATTTACAAAAAAAAAAACTGGTAATTTTTTAAAATTAACTACTTTTTTTATAAAAGTTTGTGAAATTTTGAAATACCCTAACTTTGGTCATTCACGGATAAACAACAAAGGAGACAATTAGCAGTAATATTGTGAAATAGGTGTTGCGAATGTAAAATTTATTGGTAACTTTACCTATAAATTTAATAGTAAATTTTGACATTTTTATAATGGATACACACTATGGTATTTTTTTGTGGAGATAAAATTACAGCTCAATGACAATTATGGATGCGTTGCAAATCCTGTGAAGGTTTGTTGTGTGGATTTTGCGGTTCTACTATGGTCAATGATTGGAATGAACGGGCAAGAATTGCCAATAAACATACAAAGCTCATTTAAAGCAAAGTAGTGCTTTTTGGTTAATTGAAAAATATATTTTCAATTTAATTAACCAGTGGCATAGCAAATGGTTAATTAAATTGAAAATATATTTAATAGATAATGGCCAAAGTAATAAAATTATTGACTAATTATAATAAAAAATAAAAATACTCTTACTTGTATTTAAAAAGGCCTTTTTTTATGTGCTCCTTCTTATTTTTTTTGGTGCCCCAAAAGACCTGTTTTTTTTGAGCCCGGTGCGACGCCCTTCTGAGTTACTGGTATTACCTAAATTTATATAATAATTTTACAATAAAGCAACATTTAAAACTTAGTTGTGACAGGTTGTGATATGTTATTAGTATTTAAATAGTGGCCAAACTTATGCATGGTATTGAAAATTCGGTTAAAGTAGATGTTTTTATTTTAAATTAAATATTGATTACTAGTTTTTATTTTTCATTTATTTATTTTTACAATATCAATTATCAATGTAATTTTCTGTATGTTTCAGGAAAAAAAATTGATTTTTTTTAATTTATGCTTGATAAATAAATGTTCAAAGTTTAAGTCACCGAACTTAGGCAATTTTAGGGTACATGTTAATTTAGCTAAATCATGACAAGTTAATAAAAATTTGATATAAAAATTCCAATTTCTTTTTCAATTATATTTTTTTAAAATCCAAATTTGGCTTTCAATGAAATTTGATTTAAAAATCCAAACTTGTTTTTCAGTAAAATTTGGGGTACACACATGGTCTTAATTTGTCTTCCAATTAAATTTGGGTCTTGGAAGGTCGACTTCGCCGGTCCTTAGCAACTATGTTTATCAAGGTTTGTGTTTCAGTTAAAAAAAGTTAAAAAAAAAAAAAACCTGATTACTAAAACTAAAATATTCAGGTCCTCAAGAAAATCACTTTTGCACCTGAGTTTTATAACAGTTTGGGCTAATAATAGATAAAACTAATGATTTATTAGGTGGATTTTCAGATGACTAAATAAAATATAAGAATCAATTATTTTATTTGTTAAATCAAAAATTGTTCTTCATTTGATGTAAGGTAAAAGTCAGATGCTTTTTTTGGCCACGCATAAACTAATATTTTCAAATAACTTGACAATGGCTGTTAGTATATTCTGACAATTCAAGTGTTTTAAAAATGTGCTTATAGAACTAAGCTTAACTAAACAAAAGAGCTTAAAAAAGTACTCTACTAAAAATTTTCAAAGAAATTTTATTGAGAAAAAAAAAAAAAGTAGTAAAATTAAAAAAAAAAAAATTTAAAAGCTTTAAAAAAATCTTGAAAAAAGGTTTTTAAGTGACATATTCTAAATGTACTTTTAAATGTTAAGGTTTAATTACTTTTTTCTTTTGTTTACTACAAAGAAACTTTTATTGAAAAGAATCAACGTTTCTTTAAAAAGAAATAATATTTCCCATACAAAGAATAAAATGATTTATTAAAAAAGAATTGACAGTATGCTGTTTATTTAATGGGTTATTATTTAACTAGCATATATTTAAAGCTTTTATATAATATTTATATCAATTAAAAAAATTTTTATAAATTTTTTTTAAACATCATATTTAAATCATCTTAATATTATTTAATTAGATAATTTAAATAAGATGTGTTTATTATAAACAATTGCTTGAAACAATTTGTTATTATTTAAAAGTGTTTCGTATAATGTATAAAAATATTTAATTAAAAGTTATTTTGAAATATTGAACTTATTTATCATAAAAATACATACTTTTTAAATAAACCCTATAATAATCTAACCCTGTCAGATTATATTTAAAACAAAAAAAAAGTGTTCCCTCCTCATCCCTCCCCTTCTCTCAAAAAATAAGTAAATAAGTTTTTTGATTAAATAACAAAAATTGTTTTATTATTTTTTTTAGATAAAGTTAATTTTTAATAATTATATTCAAATATATGTTTAAATATATTTCTAAGTATATATTTTGATGCATATGTTTTCAATCATAGAGATGATAGAAAATATTGAGTTAATTGGATAAAAATCACAGTAAACGCAAGTTGCAAAAGGAAGCAATTGTTTTTAGTTTACATAAAATGTGATTATTAATCCTATGATGCAATATGATGGTAACTATAAAAGGATTAAAATCAAAAAATTATTTAATAAGAATATATGAAATAAATACATTATCCATCTTTAAAAAAAAAAAAAAAAATTTTATATATTTCATTTAGAACGGAAGAGAAAATCTAAAGGTGGTCCTATATTTCGTAGTGATAAAAAAGGAGATACTCATACTCCGATTGGCTTAAAGCAAAAGCATGTGCATGGTGTTGTTGGACCAGCAGACTATATGTTTGATCAAACTAGTCCAAATAGTGAGGTTTCAACTCCAAACTCAATCTCTAGCCCTAGTCTTACAAGTACACAATTACAAAACACACCCTTAAGTACTGCAACGAGTATACAGCAGCGTTCAAGTCAATGGAATACACCACAACTTAACCAATTCACTTCAACAACAAACTATCAACAAGTTTATTCTCCAACAGTTACCAACAGCTCATCTCAACAACCAACTATTTCTTTTTCTAATAATTTTTTGGCTCAACAAGTGCTTCCAAACAGAATAGATAGACCACATTCAGCTGCTGCAGTTTTGACAACAAATGATAATGCATTACCTTCATCTCCTTTACCATTTAAACAATCTTTTAAGTCATCTAATTGTAATGATGTATCACCACAAAAAGTAACCTTATTATCTCAGGCTATTTCAAGTAACATTCAAGTATGTAAATTATTATTGAAAGATACATATTTAAGTGTCAGTGCAATTGGTCCAAATTGTCTGATAAAAATACCAAATTTAATGTTATTTTTGAGGATAAGATAAAAGACATTAAGATATGAAATATATTTTTCAAGGGTAAAATATAAGAGGTTAAGAAATGAGAGATAATATATTTTTATGTTAAGATATTTAAAAAATTTTTAATCGCTAAATTTTTAAAGTTTTTTAAAATAATAAATGTTAACATAAATTTGTAATATTACCTTATTTTATGAAAAAATCAATTGTTTTAAAATTCTTACATAAAAAAAACGGCAGTTTTTCAAAGTATTTGCTTGTGCTACATATTAAATTGTAATTTATTTTTCCAATTGTGATATTGTGATTTATAGAATCAAAACAATATAATTTTTGTCACAACAATAACTGTAAAGTACACCAGTTCTAGTTATATAAGCCAATTAAAAAGATGTTTTTTTTTTTAATATTTTATGTATATGTTATTAAATAGAGATGAAATTTTCTAACAATTTATATATAATTAGCTACCAGCAACACCAACACTTGCATTCCAAAGAAATCAATCTTACTCAAATGCTATATCTGTTCAGGGAGCAAAAACACAACCTGATAATGAAACAAATGGTTTTAATGCAAACTTTGAAATGGTTCAAGAGTTAAGTACAGAGCATAAAAGATCATCTCCAGGTGTGTGCATTTTTTTTCCAAATGGAATTATTAAAATGAAAATAATTTTGGTTTTAAAAATAGTTAGTCCATATAAAATAGTTTTGAGAACAAGTATATTTATTATATAGTATCAGAATCAGTTTTGAAGTTATTTTTAGAATTAAACAAGAGAAAACCTTTGACATACATAACATATTATGTATAGCTTTATCCTTTTTTAGAAAAAAAATTATACATATACATATATATGATATAGATTATTCTGAGATATTTATTACCTACCACTACACAAACTATGTTAATTAGCATTAGTTGTTGTAAAGTATTTCATCTTTATATGTATTGCATTAAGTGTTTTATATGTATTACACTACTTTATATGTATTACATTTTTTTACACTTTATATGTATTACATTTATACATTTATATAATTAATTTATAATTTATTCCATGCGTGTTTAATTCAAACAGTTTCGGTATATGACGTCAGCTTATAAATATTTTCTTTCAAGATGTCGTATTATTTTTTTTTGCCAAAATCACCAAATCATGTAATTGCATAACTTTTTACTAAATCCCAAAAAAAGTTTATGATGCAATTAAAAATTAAATTTTTAAAATTTATAAAAATAAAAATTTAATATATAACAAATATTTACAGTAAATTTAGTGGTTTAAACTAAATATAAGCTAGATACTAAAAGAATAATTTTACAAAAGCGTATAAATTAAAATATAAACTGAAAAAAAATCGAGTGACTTTAATAAAACATAAACTAAGTAGAGCTAAGTAGAAAATAAATATTAAATGACTTATTTTACTAATAACCGTTCAAATCAAACTAAATTAAAGTTAAAACAAGTATTTGTACTAAAATATACAAGAAAGTGTATAAATATAAAAACAAAGAATCACGTTAAATTGTTTGCTATCAGCAGACCAAAAATCTTTTTGTAGCAACAGCACATTTTTTTGAATAACATTTGAATAGCATAACATTGACAATTAATTAAAATTCGATAGTAATAAAGTTTTTAACACGCATCATTAAACAATAAGAAATGCAAAGTGCTTAAAACTATTGTTTTTGTAAGTAGTAACTAAAACATTAAGTCCAAAACAAACCTCATTTAATGAATAAAAATAATATTTTTTTCAAAATACTTTTGTAGTTACTTAATTAAATAGTTAACACTTCTACAAGTTTTACAGTGTTAACGCTGTTTTATTTTATAACTAAATTTAAAGTTTATGAAGGATTATTCAAGATTTTTTAACTTTGTGATTTTTTAACTTTTTTATAATTACACAATATAGCTCTTATTTTTTCTTGATTATGTAGAGAATTAATTAAACCTTCAGAACAAACAAATTCTATGTGTCTAGAATGGAGATTTATGTACAAAACAAGATAAATTGTAGAGCATACTCGAAAGCAGCTACCAGTGGCTTGCGGTAGTGAAAGAGTTAAACCATAACTAAATGTAGATTAAACATAAATAGAACAACTCTATTGAACCATATATATATATTTGTATAATTTTTTACTGTCACAAATATTTTTTGTGATTTAGTAAAAAATTATACAAATATTTGATTTTCTGATTGTAGTAGAAAAAATACTTATATCTTCAAAAATAAAACAACAAAAAAATGCTTGAAATTTTTTTATTTAGTTATGAATTTAAATCTTAAAAAGATATTGCAATGATGTCATATACCGAAACTGTTATGGATTAAACACGCACTGAATAAATTATCAAGTCTGCAGATTGCGGCTGACATTATACAGACTCTGAGAACCAAAAAAAAATGGAAACTGCAAGCTTTGACTAAAACGATAATTTTAATTTTGTTGGTATGCATTCATTATTTAGTTTCAATCAAAAAAATTCAGCCCAAATGTTTTTTTAAAACATTTTCTTTAATATGAACACAACTTGTCTCGGCAGTTGGGGATCCCTTTAAAATACTTAAACATTTGTATTAGATCACCCCTTCTTCTTCTGTTCTCAAGTGACAGTAAAATCAACTTTTTAAATCTCTTCATAATTGTATACTTTTGAACTTTCAATTCTAGTAGCATTCTGTTGGACACTCTAGTTTATCTTTATTATACAGCCAATACAGATTCAGAGGATTTTTTCAGATTTAAGAGCTGTATATTCCAAATGTGAATGATCTTAAGCTATGAATAATTTTGTCATCTTTTTTTTCTAAATATTTATATGTGCTTTATCTTGCCTAGCTATTGGTTTTCTTTATTTACTGCATTATTTATGCGATATTTCTGTTGCAAGTTATTCGAAATGTCCACCTAAAGTATACACCAAAAGTCTTGTTTATTTTAAAATTGTATAGGCTATTTCCTATAATCATGGTCTTACATTTTTCCTAGTCACTCTTTATCTTGTTGTAATTTATTAATATCCAAATTAAATGTATATATATATATATACATCATAGTTACTTAAAAATGCAGCATAGAAAGATTTTTATATATATACATATATAAAAATCTTTCTATGCTGCATTTTTAAGTAACTTTTACTTTTAAGTTAAGCTTAAAAACAAAATTAAACATTATGTAGAATATTATATATAAAAACGCACTCCAACTATGAAAAACTAAAAAAAAAATTGATTAAATTAATGCATTACGACCGTCATGAAAAAAAATCAAGAAGTTTTTTCTAGGCTTCATATCAGACTTTATAAAACTAAAAATATAGTAAAAGTAAAGATACTGATATAAGTTTTATCATTGTTTCAATTTTTTGTAAAGAGAGTCTCAGATAGTATTAAGATGTAATAAAGTATGTTACGAGCATCACGCTATGTTTGTTTTTCCATAACAACTTCTTGACTTTTGAATAAAAAGTTGAAGTACAAACGATTTTATTACTGAAACCAAGTTAAAAATCAATTTCGTTTCATTTTCAGTTTGTTTACTCATTATATTGCTAAGCTTGTTAAAGTATTTCTTATTACTTTTTTAAAATATAAATCACTTATTTCAAATAATTGATTTAAAAAAATTAATAAGAAATAAAAACTTTTACCACAAAGAAAATTTTTTAGCATTACATTTTTTTATAGTTTGCATTGCAATGTTTTTGTTCATTTGATTTTGTGTTTTTTTAATTTTATAAAATGAATAAAAAAACACGCTTTTTTTTCTAATTATAACAGAATGTAAATCTTAAAGGGAAGCTGTTATATTTAATAACATTTTTTAACTGCCTAAATCAGATGCTAAAAGATCAAAAGCTTATAGAGCAAGAAACAGAAAAGCCTTGTTGGAAAAAGAAAGAAAGAGAAGTTATCAAAGAAAACAGTTATAAACACCAAGAAAAGAAAACAAGCAAAAAAATCAAGCAAAAGTTCGCAACCAAAGGTTAAGAATGAAAAAAAAACTTGAATTTACTGCTAACATCAGTTTGAATGTTATATGCCTGATAATTCTTATAAATGCAAATTATCAATGACAAAGGCATTAAACAAGTATTTAATTATATTTTTTAATGTTATTGCTTTTGCACAATTTGGTTTTTTTTTATATTAAATTTATATTAAATAAAATTTTTAAGACAATGCAGGCTCTTCCAAAGTCTCCAAATAAAAGACAAACTATTGTAGAACAGATAGGTACTGATTATGGCTTATGCAATTTTAAAGAAACCACTTGAGTTTGTCAGAAGAAATTGCACTACTAAAGAAACCACTTGAGATCACATCAGAAGAAATTGAAAAAGTAAAAGCATTTTATGAAAGAGAAGATTTATCAATGTCTCCTGGAAGAAAAGATTGCATTAAAATTGGCGGAGAAATTTTTTTATTTAGTTATGAATTTAAAGGAGCTGCATCAATTGTATTGTGAAGAGAATGCCAGCAATAATGTTAAATTAACTAAATTTTGTGAACTACGGCCTAGATACATTTTTTCATGCAAAGTCACACTGCTTGAATCATGTTTTTGTGTTAATTGTAGTAATTTAACTTATTTGTGTGCTGCTTTGGCAAGTAAAATACATTTTCCATTTGCTTTGCTCGAAAATGGAGACATGGGTACATTCATCGCCTATAGTTTGTGGATAAAAGATGATAATCGTTGTGTACTCAGTGAACATAAAAAAAACAAAAGATGTCTATACTAATTTCTGCGACTGTTTACCAGAGTTTACTGAACATTATACAACTAAATAGCACCAGTCTGAGCAATACCACAGTCAAAAGGAAAATTTCAAACCAGACCAAATTTTGATATACTGATTATTAACAAAGCTATAAATGTGGTTATCAGAATGCTGTTCAACCTGCTTATTGGTTCCAGTCTATTATTACTCTATTTACAATGGTTATTTATCGTTACCAATTAGAACCAAAATCAGTTGTAATAATACAGGGTGACCACTGATCATGGAAATCATGGAAATGTCATGGAATTTTATTTGGTCATCAAAAAAGTCATGGAATTCCTAATTTTTATTGAAAGTCATGGAATTCCTAATTTTTATTGAAAGTCATGGAAAATCCATGGAACTTTTTAAAATGATCTTTATTTTTTACTGCTTGTGAAATTTTTAGGATGTAAAGAAAAGTACTAGTATACAGGCCTCGGGGGGAAGTGAGAGCTTTAGCTCTTGCTCTTGTCCACACTCCCCTGAAACGGTTTAAGAGAGCTATTTACGGCTCTCGCAAAAGTATAATTTTTCTCATAAAAGTATAACTATCATTTTAAATAAAATAAAAAACACAATGTCATTTAGAAAAAAATAATTGCATTATATACTGAAATGCTTTTTGAAAAGCACAGTTGTTGCAAAAAAATATTAGAATAATAAAAGAGCGCCGATTAAAATGAAGAGCAGCTCGCACAGCTCCCCAAGTTGGTTTTAGGAGAGCTTTTTTTCGCTCTCGTACTCATTTATTCCCGCTGAGGCTGAGTATGTCTAGTTTAAGTCCTTTTTGAAAAAGATATTTTTGTAGTATAAGTTTATTATCAGAGAAGTAAAAGAAAAAAAGTTTTTTTAGACTTTCAGAACTTTCTATCAAATGCTTAGTGCATGGCATGTACTGAATAATTTACTGTTTAGTGGTTTATCATAAAAGTTAATGAAGAGTTATGGAAAAGTCATGGAAAAGTCATGAAAAAGTTATGAAATTTTATTTTCAAATTCGAGTGGTCGCCCTGTAACATTTGATGATAATGATAAAGCAAAGCGCTCTACTACTACTTATTTAAGTGAAATATTTGACCTTTATTGCATTAATTATATAAAAAAGTTATATTATGGAGCGATGGTCCTTGCACTCAGTTAAAAAATTGTTACATGGCCAAATTCATACAACATTGCTCTGTAAAATATCATTTTCAATCAATAGAGTGGAGTTTTTTTGCTACCTCTCACGATAAAGGAGCAGTTGATGGTGTAGGAGGATCGTTGAAGCAATCTGTTTGGAACAGTGTAAAATCTCTCTAAGTTGTTATCTTAAATGCTAAAGACTTCCTCTTAGCATCAAATGGTTGCAAAACTTATGTAAGGCTAATCAATACAGATGACATTAATCCAAGGTGGGCCATTATAGCTGATCATTTTGAAGAAGCGAAAGCCGTTAAAAATATTATTAAAATGCATTTCTGTCAAGTAAAAAATGGAAAGTTTTTATTTCAAAATTGTTGAATGTTTTTTAACGGGCTTGTAAAACATTTTTAAAATTAATATTTTTACTTTTCTGAAAGATTAATTTTGTAAACTTATGTTGGGAACATGAAGCATTAACCATTTAAACTTAAGTAAAGTAATAAAGTGTAAATAAATATAGCAGCCTGCCTTTAGTTGCCTATTTAAAATTTAACAAACCCAGTATCAAAAAACCATATTTTAGAACTTTGATAATGTTATAAAGTTTATACTTTTACATAGTTTACTTGGTTTTTATAATTATTCATCTTTTTTTTTTATTGCGTTGTTTTATTTGTTGTTTTTTAAAATTAGATTTTTTGTTATGACCATCACAGTTACGACCATCACAACAAAACATAGAAATGGTTTTGAAATAACAAGTAAAAACTATGAAACTCAGCATATAATAACATCAATATGTGCTAAATACACACACCAAATGATTTTTTTTTTACCATGTCGTTCATTGTAATTATTCTGGCAAAGTTGTTTTGTTAAGAAGCGGTAAAAAGTAAGCGTTACAACCATCATGCTACGCAGAGTTAATTTTTGAAAAAAGTTTAAGACCTCAATACTGTAACTTTTGCATACTAAATTATATAATAGTATTCCACATTTCTGGAAAGTTTCAAGTCATTTCCATCTACTATAGAGTATTTATATAATCATTTTTTTGCTTATCTTAACCTTAATCAATACGGCTTTTTTAGAAAAAGAAGAAAAAAACAAAGAACAATAAATGAAAAGATTGCTGCCCCATACCAAACCCTCAGTTGATGTAGCAGTTGATGTCAGCTGTGAGTCAGGCTATTTGTCAGTTGATGTATGTACTGAAGCCCTCGGTAGAAAGCTATTTTAGTATGATATTACACTGCTCACCTAAATCAGCAGTATAAGATAGCAGTATAAAGCGAGTTAAATTTAACTTTTTTTTTATGATTACTCTAAGGAAATATTTATTTTATTTATTTATTTTTAATATTAAATAATTAAAGTTAATATTACATATTTAACAACGTTTGATATTAAAAAATTTCTTTCTTTTTTTGACATTTGCATAAATGAATTAAAATATGTTAAATTTTTGAATTTTTAAATGATTATTTCTTAAATTTCTAATTTGCTTCGCTACTACAAATGATTTTTTATTTAAAAAAATTAGAGAGTAACAAATAAAAAAATTAAGTTTATTAACTTTATTTATTAAAAGTTTATTATTTTATTAAGATTATTTCTCCAAATATCATTTATTTAAATTATATTGCTGTATATATCCATTTATTAAAAAATAATCACTGCGATTTAACTTGTGCTATAAAAAAAAAGTTTAACTTGCGTTTTGTGCAAATTTTTGATGCAGCTGTTTATTCAAAATTTAATTGCAATAAAAATGAACAAATAAAACTTAAATATTGAACAATATTTTGTAATATTTTTTAAATAAATTTGACAATTAAGTTTAACCCAAGCATAACTTTAATTTTAATAAACTTAAATATTTTTTTTAAAATCCAAATTAATTTATATATTTTTTAAATCTAAATTAAATTATATACTTTTTTTATTAGAATAAAATTATATTTTTATTAAATTAGTTTTAATTTAAATCATATATTTTTTTATCCGAATAATTATATTATTATGATCTTTGCCTCTTAAAGTATTAACATTTTTCAAGCAAAAAAATCAATCATTTCAATAAAACAAAAACAAAATAGAAAAAGTTTTTAATTTTATTTGAGTTTTTTTTCATTAGTAAATAGCACTTATATTTAACATAATTGTCATTCAAACTTTTTTAACAAATATTTTTACATAAACGTCATTCAAAAGTTAATATAATTTTTCTAAAAGTTAATTACTTCTTTTATCTTACCGCTTATAGAATAATTTAAAAGTTAAAAAACGATAAAAAGCACATCAATGATAGTTCAGTGTTTTAATGTGCTGTCATCAGTGTTGTTTTGGGGGGTTTAAAACCTCCCCTTAGCATAATAAATTTTGAAATTTTTTCAATCTTATTTATAACAAAAAAAAAAAAAAATAGTATAGAAAAAAAATTTCTTATTATTAAAATAAATTTTTAAAGTTTTCTCATTTTACAGATATATTGTTCTATATACTGACTGTAAACTTAATATATGCTAAAGGCATTTACACTTACATACGTTTGTACGTAATGCTATACAGATGGCAGAACTAAGAAGATTATAGGTCATTAAAAACTATAGACACGGGCTTAGCTATAAAATGCTAATCTAAAAGTTAACCCAAAAAAATTTTGGACAGTTGACGTCAGTCAAAAACTTTAATACATCAAGTTTGCTTTTGTATTTATCTTTTCACATTTTTTTATTAATTTTGATAATGGTGCATACAGTTGCACGAAAAGGTATAAAACTGGTACAGATATCACTTAATGGATAAGAGTATTTATTGCAATAGTAATAAATAGTTTTAAATAAATAACAAAGTAATTTCTATTTTAGTCTTTATTAAAATATATCTCATAAAAATATATTCCATATATTTTTAATATAAGATATTTTCCTCAAAAATTTAAATAAAATCTCATTTCTATTTTGTTTTTCTAGTTTTTTTTACCACCAAGTAACATATGCAAAAAAATTTTGGCTTCAATGATTTAGGAAAAAGCTGCATCTATCATTTATATATCACGCGGCAATCAGAAATTATCAAAAGAGACACAAATCTAAAATTGAAGTTACAAATTTTCTACTTTAATGAGATTTTATGTTTCGTGTTTTTTCAATCTTGTCAATTTTTTTAAATACAATAACATTAATACAAAAATTCAAAACAAAATAGCTTGAGCAAAAATGACTTCTAATTATTAGAAAAGTTTTGTTATACAATGTTATATTATGTTATATAAAACATTATATAAGTGGATTTTTTACATTTGCAGATAACATATTTTTTTTATTTTTATATTATGTTATATTAGATGCTGTACAATAAACTAGCGCTTTTCTAAATAAGCGCTTATTTAGAGAACCTGCTTGAAAAGTGTTGATTAATTGCAATTGATATAAGAGTCTATAAAATGATTTGTTTTTTATTACATGCATAAATTCGATAGATAAGTGGTTTAATGCGCTGTCATCGGTGTTGTTTTTCGAGGGTTCAAATCTGCCACTTAACACAAAATAGTTTTTTATTAGCATTTTAATGTAGTTTAGTTTGTAATGTAGTTAGTAATTTTTTTGTTTTATTTATAGTTTATATAAGTTTAAAAGTATTTGATAAATTTTAAATTTTCATTTATTCATCTATATATTATATATCTATAGTTGACTTATCACACTGTTGTTAATTTTCTTATCACACTGCTGTTGATTTTCTTGTCACACTGTTGTTAATTTTCTTATCATACTGCTGTTAATTTTCTTATCAGACTGTTGTTAATTTTCTTATCACATTGCTGTTAATTTTCTTATCAAACTGTTAATAATTTTTGTATCACACTGTTGTTTATCACACACACACACACACACACACACACACACACACACACACACACACACACACACACACACACACACACACACACACACACACACACACACACTAGTTTTATATTGTTAAAAATAATATCCTTAAGAATATAGATTATATTATTAAAGATTATATTTTTAAATTTTCTAGAGAATACTTCAACACTTCAATCTGTGGGACTTTCTACTGGTTTGTTTTACTTTATCTATTTTATTTATAATATAATTATATATTGATTATTATTTGAAATTATAAGCAGCTCACAACATAAATATAAAAATAAATTAAAGCTAACATTTTCATCAAAAAATTTTTTTTTGATTAAATTAAAGTATGTTTCTTACAGTTGTTATGAAATTTAATATTTCTATTTTATATAGGTTATTCTATATAGAATTGATAGTTGTAAAGCTCTGAACCTTTACATTTTTTTAGCTGTTTATACTTGTTTTGATATGTAATAAAGTTGCTTATTGCAAGTATCATTATTGTTTTTAAACCAAATGACACTTTTAAATTCAATTAATTTTTTTAACTTTGGTGTCAGTCTTTAAATCTGTTAATAATCAATCTGTAAAAATAATTTTTAGTTTTTTTTTTTTTAATTTTAAATTATTTTTGTAGAATTATGGAATTCATCATCTGTTCAAAATGAATGTTCAGTAGAAGCAGAGTGGGCTAATTTTCCAGGCCCTGCTTCTTCTCAAAATGAATTAAATGACAATGAATCAAATAGCTCAGCATCTAGAATGTGAGGTTTTTAATTTTCAACTTGGTTTAATAGAATTAATATGAAGGAAAAAAAAAGCAAGTATTTTAAAGAACAATTATTAGTAAATGAATAAAAGAAAAACCAATGAATAAATGATTATTTTTGAGTTATTTTATTTTATCTGAATTATCATTAAATAAATAGTTTAAAAATTTTTTTTGTTTTTAATTAGCTAATTTAAAAAGTTGGTTACAAATTTTAAAATGGCTAAACATTTTAAAATTTGTAACCAACATACAGATTATTAAGGTTAATGAAAAAAAATACAGATTATTAAGGTTAATGAGATATTTTTTGAATATTTAATTTAAGGAATGAAGATGCTGAGAGCATACCTGGAAGTGAGAGTAGTTTAGATAGTGAGATTGATGATACTGCTTGGCAAATAAATGATGAGCAGCGTGAATATTATACTAACCAATTTATAAATTTAAATCCAGAAAATGGGTTTGTGAAAGGTAATTTTAAAAAATAATTTTTCTGTTCTTTTGTGGCTTTTTTTTTTTTTTTTTTTTTTATACAACAAAAGATCAATTTTTGTTTTGAAAGTCAATGGTAATGTTTTGATGTGTCATAACAACATTTAATATTGTTTTGATGGTCAATGTTAACAGTAGATGTCTTTGAACAATATTAAAGTTGTTTTGATGGTCAATGTTAAAAGTAGATATCTCTGAACAACATTTAATGTTGTTTTGATGATCAATGTTAATAGTAGATATCTCTGAACAACATTTAATGTTTTGATGGTCAATGTTAACAGTAGATTTCTCTGAACAACATTTAATGTTGTTTTGATGGTCGATGTTAATAGTTTGTGTCTCAGGACAGTTTTTAATGTTGTTCCAAAACACCATTCACGCTATTTTTAGCTGTAAACTTATTTTGCAACTTTTTAAATTGTTTCATTTCTTGCTTTTAGTTTTAATATTGAAATTTTTATATATTTTTGTTCAAAATGATAATATTAAATTGGTTTAGTGACTTATATTAACAATATTAGATGTTATTATAAATAATGCTTAATATGATATTAAGTAATAAAATTTTTATTATCTAAGTAACTTATAAAGATTTGACTTTTTTTTATCTCACTAATTTCTTTAATTACTAGTTCTGTTCATTTTTTCAAAATAGTTAACAAAATAAAATGAGTTATTACTGAGTAATTACTCAGTTTTTACTCATTTTATCTAGTTAATGCTTTCAAATTTTTTGTACATATTCACATTTTAATGGTTTAGGAAGGGCTAGTTGTTGCAGGCTTGTTGAAGAGGCTAATTGTTGTAGTATAATTTAAAAGGCTTGTTAAAGTGGCTAGTTGTTGCATTATAATTGAAGAGAGTTGTTAAAAAGGCAAGTTGTTGTAATATAATTGAAAAGGATTGTTGAAGAGGCTATTATAGTATAATTGAAGAGGGTTGTTAAAGAGGTTAATTGTTATTGTTACTGCATTTAAGTCAGTTGAATGTTACGGTAGTTAAGTCAGTTGAATGTTATGGTAGTTAAGTCAGTTGAATGTTATGGTAGTTAAGTCAGTTGAATGTTACGGTAGTTAAGTCAGTTGAATGTTACGGTAGTTAAGTCAGTTGAATGTTACGGTAGTTAAGTCAGTTGAATGTTATGGTAGTTAAGTCAGTTGAATGTTATGGTAGTTAAGTCAGTTGAATGTTACGGTAGTTAAGTCAGTTGAATGTTATGGTAGTTAAGTCAGTTGAATGTTACGGTAGTTAAGTCAGTTGAATGTTATGGTAGTTAAGTCAGTTGAATGTTGTGTTAGTTAAGTCATTTGAATATTTCTTTGAAAAATTTATTTTAAGTAAAGGTAATTTTTCAAGTATTGTACAATCAACTTATTTATTGCAGAATACATAATAAATACTGTCTATTAAAATAAAAATGCAAGTTTGACTTGTTTAATAAAATTATCATGAGTTTTAGTTAGAATAAATATTTCCCCAATCCCCTCCATCTCCAAGAAAAAAAATCCCATGCATTAAATTTAAATTTAAACCTTTAAGTTAAGCAAAATGTTTTTTATAAATAATGTAAAACTTTATTTATTTTTTATTTTTTATTTTTTTTGTTATTGTTTTTAATTAATAGCAAAATTATACAAGAATACCAACAAATACTAATTGGTAAAAAACCAAAATTATATTTTCTTGCATTGTTGTATGTGGGTACATTATTTTTGGATTTACACGAAGTTGACACATGGGTATTAGCCAATCATTCACCAAATGGGTTTTCTTAAGCTCATATTTCTTTTTTGGCTAACCTTAACTTTAACTTTGTTAAAATTTTAAGTAAATTCATTTTAATAAAAATTATAGGACAATTAGCTCATGTGTTTTTGTTGAATTTATAGGACCACTAGCTCGTGAGTTTTTCTTGAAATCAAATTTACCTACTGAAACATTATCAAAAATTTGGTACGATTTATATTGAATATAGTTTTTCAATTTATGAATTTTTTTTTTTTAAATATTAAAATATCAAAAGAATTTTTTTTTAGGAATTTGTCTGATTTGGATAAAGACTATGCACTTAACTTGGAGGAGTTTTGTATTGCTATGCACTTGGTAGTAGCAGTTAGACATGGAATGGAACTGCCATCATTTCTTCCAATAACTCTTTTACCTAAAATTGTTGATGAAGGTTAGTTTCTTATCTTTATGAATTTGTTGATGAACATTTTCTCCTTACATTAAGTTTAAAGTTTAAACTTTTTTTCAACTGCCACAATCCCCTCATTAAAATGTCTTGAAGATATTCAGGTAAGGTATGAATAAGCACTAGATTAATAATTTAAATGTAATAATTTAGTGTGGCTGTTGTGCAATTGTTAGAGTTCTGGCTCAGAACCAACAGGTCTGTGGTTTGTTGCTGGCTCTAGCCCAATAAGTGACATTGGGAAGGAAGGAGGCGTGAACTAGTTAAATGCTTTTCTGTGTAGAAGACCATAAGGACTTCTGGGAGCACCTTAATAACAACAACCACAAAAAAAAAGATTGTCATGCATATTGGTTTACAGTAAAAATGTTAAATTCAGAATTTTAACAACGATTTGAATTATGGACCTTAAGGAAATTATGGACCTTAAGGAAATATTTAATACGTTCAATAAGTGGGAATCAATTTAAATCCATTCTAAATTTGCCTAATGTTGTCAATGCATTTGTTGTAAAACCATTATATGTTCTTGTGGGAAAGTCACTATATGTTTTTGTGGAAAGCCATGAAATTTTTTAGTTACTATTGTGGGAAAGCCACTATATTTTCTTGTAATATTATATGTTCTTGTGGGAAAGCCACTATGCGTTTTTGTGGGAAAGCTATCATATGTTCTTTTGAGAAAATCAAATAATATTCTTGTGGGAAAGCTATTATATGTTCTTGTAAGAAAGCTATTATATGTTATTGTGGGAAACCACTAAATGTTCTCGTGGGAAAGCTGTTATATATTCTTGTGGGAAAGCCACTATATGTTCTTGTGGGAAAGCCACTAAATGTTTTTTTTGGAAAGCTATTACATTTTCTTGTGGGAAAGTCACTAAATGTTCTTGTGGGAAAGTCACTGAATGTTCTTGTGGAAAAGCTATTATATGTTCTTGTGAGGGAGGTAGTTGCTGCTATTCTTAATAATCTCTAGATAAATCCCAAAGGGGAAATTTACCAGATCAAAAAATATTTGTGGTACGAAACAAAAAATTTACTGCAACAAAAATAGCTAAGTTAACTAAGATTCTTATAACTAACAAGTTTTGAATATTACTTTTATAAACACAGATGTTAATCCAGGTCATACAAATACAGGATAAAAATACCTATAATTATATAGCAAAACTTTAAAAAAAAAAAAAATAAGGTAAATAATAGTGCATTACTACTAAATAAACTTCAAAAACAAGTGTTTCTTGTTGATAATTGTGGTTCAAAAAGTACACGCTTTAATTTTAAAATTTGCTTTGCCTGACCTGATGAACAAATGACCAAAGGTAATATTGGTCCCACCAGATTATTTTATGTCAGCATCGAAGTAAAACATGGTAAAACTTTTACCAAAGAATATAAAAATTAGCATTGGTTTCAAATAATATACTTTCAAGATCGCAAAATGGCTTTAGCCCATTACAATTTACGATCGCTTAATTTTCTCCATAAATCTTTTCCACCAAATAAGAACAGAGTTAAAGTGGGTATATTTGAACAGCATGTAAAGTTGAACAACTTTTGAATTTTTATTTTTTTAGAATTATCTTTTGAAAGGAAAAATGTTTTGTATAACTTTAAGTGTAGTTTTATTATAAAAATTCTGCTGAAGATCTTCTTTTTTTCATAATTGAAATAGTTGTTCCAATTGAAATGCTTGTACAAAAAAAAAGTTATGAAGTAAAAACTAAAATAAAATCTTTCTTGTTTAATTAAACTCCTTTTACACACTTGGTTTTTTTTTCTTTATCACACTTTTTTAATTTCTTTCACACTTATTTAATTTCTTTCACACTTAGTATATATATATATATATATATATATATATATATATATATATATATATATATATATATATATATATATATATATATATATATATATATATATATATATATATATATATTCGATGTATATATATAAATATTATTATATAAATATATTCAAGTAAACACCAATGAATTGTTTGCATCAAGTATCTGGAATTTTAACAAAATTGGCTTCAATGCTGACAAGAGTGATCAAAGAATGTTCTGTAAATGTGGTTCCAAGCGTTCTCTAAATGAAATTAAAAAAAAAATTAACTACCCAATAGATAACTGTGTAAATTGTGTGGGAGTTGCACTTCAACCATTTAAAATTTTCAAAAGCAAAAACTTTGCCATAAACTAGTGTTTATATGGCCCCAAAAATGCTAAATATACAACTCCACTGTCAGGTTGGATGGAATACAAACAATTCATTCAATGGCTCACTAAAATATTTATTCCATCATATCTGTTAGTACTTGATGGTCACAGCACATTAGAAATCAGGTTGAAAACAATGTTAAGCTCATTAACTAGTGGCTCATTCTTTAACCTTTAGATGATGGAAATTATGTTAGGTTATAAAGGTTTGGTGCTAAACAGAAAAATATTAATCAAACTCATGTTGCAGCAATTTATCTAAAAATGGTTCTGTTTAGCTTCAATAAAAACTCTTCAATTTCTATAAATATTTTACGTGTCTTCAAATTGTTGCAGGATTTCAAAACACAGGCTTATATCTGCTAGACCAATAAAATTGAGAAATCTAAATTGTATATTACTGAAAGCTGCTCAGTCTGTTTGCTGTTTTAGTAACTTATCTGCATACACCAGTCTCAATCAATCAGTCTTAATCAATAACCACAATAAATCCATGAGCTAATGTTGATCTAATTTGAAATGCTATTCAAGAAAACATTTAACAAACATTCAATATTTAAACAAAACAAAGAAAAGGCTAAAAGTTCTTAAAGTGTTGAAATCAAAATGCACTATTTTTTTTTTTATCTTTGCTTCCAACAAGGCTGCAAGCTACCACTGTTAGAGTTGGAAGTTTCTGGAAGAGAAAGATGAAGATTGTAGAGCAAGATAACAATTGACAGACATCTTAAAAGCAAATTATATTAATCAGGAAAGCAAGATGAAGGAAGCGAATTCCAAAGAACTGATGTTCAAGTAAAAAAGCTAGAGGAATAAGAGTTTTTGGAGCAATTAGGAACAGTCATAGAAAAAGGATGAGACTTAATTGAATGGCGAGTAACACGAGAATGAATTTTAGTAGATGGCACAAAAGCTAGCTCTTCAGAGTAGTGCCCATTATAGTATTTGTAGATAAAAGAAAGAAAACAATGTTATGACGATGTGATAATGATAATTATGTGATAATGTGATAATATATACAAATGTTTATATGTGAAAGTTTAAAATGCCAAAGCTTGGTCTGTTTTACTTGTCTAAAAAATGCACGGATGCTGATGATTTCTTTTGTACCAAAAAATGTAAATGATACTGAAATTTTTTACTTAACCTCCTTATCTTATGGATACTAACCTCCTTATCGTATGGCTAATTCACACCTTTAACTTAAAAAGACATTGTATAATTGTGCTAACTCTAAATGTTTGTAACTTGAAATAAAAATTGTAAAATTTTTGTATTCTTGCAGAGCAAATGTTTCTAAATATATATATATATATATATATATATATATATATATATATATATATATATATATATATATATATATATATATATGTATATATATATATATTTATATATATATATATATATATATATATATATATATATATATATATATATATATATATATATATATATATATATATATATATATATATGTATATATATATATATATATATATATATATATATATATATATATATATATATATATGTATATATATATATATATATATATATATATATATATATATATATATATATATATATATATATATATAAATATATATATATACATATACACCATTGGCCATAAATTAGAGCTCACTTTTTTGTTTGTTTTATAATCCTGTTTGATTGAAATTATTTTATTGAATTATATAATATGAATTTATTTATTATACTTTTTCAATAATTTATTAGTACTAATTAATAAGTATTTTGTTTACTGTTTATTTGACATGTTGTTTCCTTAAAATTTATTTTGTATGCCTAATTATATATAATTTGATAACAACTACTAAATATTTTTAATTTTTTGTTGGTCAAAAGTTAAGGCTGACTGCCTTATTTTTTAATTTTAAGTAATATATTGATGATTTTCTTTAATAATTTTTATTTTATTTTCATCTGCATTTATTATTTCTAATTTTTTTTGTTTTTGTTTGAAATAGTACTAAAAAAAACACAAATAAATTAAATGATAAAAAAGTTACAAAATGAGCGAAGAAATACAGCATGAAACTCCAAAATCACGATCAAGAATCTCTGAAAAAACACGTAATGAATCAATTTTTCTTTGAAACCAAGGACTATCTCATCATGAAATAGCAAATGAGTTGCACTTATTTTAAAACGCTTTAGTGAAACAGGTGACATTAAGGACCGACGCCAATCTGGTCGGCCAGCTGTAACAACACAAAGAGATGAACATTTGTTAATTCGTTTAATGAATCATGATAGAAAGTTATCGTCAAACGCTCTCTGTCATAAATTAAACAGTACATCTGAAATAAAAGTGAGTTCAAGAACTGTTAGAAGAATTCTTCATAGAAATAATTATATGTGGCGATCTGCATGCATGAAACCAAGACTTTCAAAGAAACAGCAAAAAACAAGGCTTGTCTGGTGCAATCAACATAAAAATCGGCCTGATTGCAAGTGGCAAAATGTTATATTCTCCGATGAAATGAATGTTGAAGTAGATATGCGAAAATGCCGTGTTATGCTACAGCGATCACCTCAAGAGAGATTTGATTCAAATTGTACATTAAAATGAACTAAGCAAGGTAGTGGCAGTATAGGCATTTAGGCCTGAATTTATTATGCAGGACTTGGTTGCTATGGATTATTTAAAGGTCGACTTAATGCTAATAGATATATTGAAATTTTAGATAATTGCCTCCTTCCCTCAATTGATATATTTAAAGAAAACAG